GATTATCAGTAACTCGTCATCAGCTTGCTTGTCAGCAATCTTCGAAAGAGGAAGCCATCGACAGCCCTGCTAGCTGATGGTTGCTGTTGACATTTGCTTCCACTCGAGTTACTTTAAAAAATATTACTGAAAATTATTGGAAATATAAAAACGTTTCATGGAAAACGTAGTATTTCGTTGTGTTTTATCGCTTTTATGCGTAATATCGTCGACGCTATCTGTGTGGGATGAGTAAGAATTTGTTGTCATTATATTATTTCAGGATGGGGCTATCGGAGCGGTTGCTTTATATCGCTTTATTATGCCTTCATAGGAGTATTTTAACTAGTGCACAGGTTTGAATTCGTTTCGAGTCATTGTAAAATCGCGAAAATGCTTTAAAACAATTGTTGTAAAGTCGCGAAAATGCTTTAAAACAATTGCTTATGACGTAAATATACTGTCTCGAATCGGCGGTGCCACTGTCGTGCCGTTTATCCCGAGACGATGGTTTGAATCCTCTAGCACACTTCGTTGACTTGTTTCCACTGCAAATTAGCATTGGTATCGCGAAACTATCGCTGAAAAAAGAAAAATAATTGCTGAGAATTGCTGAAAAATTGGGCAGAATATGCATTACATTAGTATGGATTGGGAATGTGTGGCATACACGCAAATATAAATGCTCCAGCTGCTGTGTGAAGAGCTAGGCCCAGTGGTACATCGGATAGAATGTCACGTTTCGAGGAATCCCGAGATACTGGAAATGAGTGGTACTCTGCTTGTGGAAATTCCCCATCCCCCTTTTCCATAATCATTTGCAGAAAGAGTGGTCTTTGCCAACTGCTGGTATTAGGCTGGCAACCTGATCTCCTGCACATGTTTCAACCCATCGCAGAGAGTCATTACTAGCAGATTTTGTCTTTTAGCATTGAATCTCTTTGGTATCCTCAGCCTTTAACCGAAGGTTGCCTTTCACAAAAAATTCCATTCTGATTTCTGTACAAACGCGACGTCCTGTTGCTGCTTTGTTCTTCGGCGACTAAACACAATCACTTAAGAACTGTCGATATGGTGTGTTTTGGCCGAAAATGCAAAATGGGCTAAATTTTTTTGAGTCGAGCAAATTTCGATTAGCCTTGGTTATTTTTATGTGGCCTTGTCTTATTTTTCGTTTTTTTGTGGAGTTCCTCTTGCTATATTGGCGACCTGCGCATTTTTTTTCTTTGGAGAAGATAAATGCATTTTTCTTCTTTTCTATGTTGCTTTTGCAAGTCATCTTAAATACGATCATTTGCAGGCCGATCTGAATGCTCTGAATGCGCAAGCCGCACAACAAGGTATGACTTTTTTTGCACTAATTGATCAGTAAGATAGCCAGAAATTTTAGGACGGTACTTTTTAAATCTTTGTTTGGGAAACATTACAGCACATTTTTCTTGTTTACGTCAGAGTGTTAAAAATCATTTGGGAGTGTTACAAACAAAATTCAGTCTACTAATTGCTACTAGTTTTTGAAAAAATCAGCGAACGGTCCTATGCTTTTTTGGGGAAGAGGACTCCCTTCCTCATGCACCCTTTCCTCTGACGTCTCACCCAGCCCCGCTCTTGTTTTTGCTGACAGATCTGAGCAAAATTTGTTTAGTTATTCGTATCAGTGACATCTACAAGTTCCTCAGCTTTTAGCTGTCTGATATCGCTTTTTTTTTTGCAGTAGCTCCGCCGCAGAAGATATTGTCAGCACAGGGACGTGAACAGAATATCACACCGCAGCCTGTGCAGCAGCAACAACTGTAAGTATTACCTGATCTGTGTTAATTTTTGCAAACTACGCGGATTTTCATGTAACTTAGGAGGTGCTCTCTCCCCTTTTTGTGGCTCGCCTGGTTTTTTCAGTCAAATTCAGTTGTTTACGTTGAATAAACTTCTTAGGTTGTCTGGGCACGAACGGCTTAAGATAAGAGAGTTTGACTTGGCTAATTCCGGC